TAAAATTATCTAATGATGCACCTTAAAGAATTAGGAAAGTTAAGAGCAAACCAAACTGAAAACTAGAGCAAAGGATATAAAGATCAGAGAATAAATACATAAAATTCAAACAACAAAAATACAAAATCAATGAAATTAAAAGTTGCTTTTTGAAAAGATTCATATAACTGATAAACCTTTAGCCAGACTAAGAGAAGAGAAAGAAATCAAGAGTAATCCCAATTACAATAGTTACGAACAAAATTAAATACCTAGGAATTAACCAAAGAAGTGAAAGCTCTCTACAATGAAAACTATAAAACACTGATGAAAGAAATTGAAGAGGACACAAAAAATGGAAAGATACTCCATGTTCTTGCTTTGGAATAATCAGTACTGTTAAAATGTCCATACTACTTAAAGTAATCTACAGATTCAATGCAATCACTATCAAAATAATAATGACATTCTTCACAGAAATAGCAGAAACAATTCTAAAACTTTTATGAAACCACAAAAGACCCACATTAGCCAAAGATATTAACTGAAGAAATCACATTACTTAATTATACTACAAAGCTATGGTAACCAAAATAGTATGGTACTTGCTCAAAAACAGACACATAGATCAATGGAACAAAATAGAGAACCCAGAAACAAATCCACACATCTGCAGTGAACTCATTTTCAACAAAGGTGCCAAGAACATACACTGGGGAAAAAACAATCTCTTCAATGAATGGTGCTGAGAAAACTATCCATATCAAAAAGAATGAAACTAGACTCTTATCTCTCACCGTATTAAAAAATCACATCGAAATGAATCAGACTTAAATTTAAGGCCTCACAATATGAAACTACTAGAATAAAACATTGGAGAAACTCTCCAGGACACTGGAGTGAGACAAGAATTCTTTAGTAATATGCCATAGGCACAGGCAACAAAAGCAAAATTAAATAAATGGAATAACATCAAGTTAAAAGGTTTCTGCACAGCAAAGGAAACAATCAACCAAATGAAGAGACAACCCACAGAATGGGAGAAACTATTTGTCAACTATCCATCTGACAAGGGATTAATAACTAGAATATGTAAGAAGTTCTAACAACTCTACAGGAAAAAAATCTGATAATCTGAGTAAGAAATGGGCAAAGAATATGAATAGACATTTCTAAAAAGTGACACACAAATGGCAAATAGGTATATGCAAAAGTACTCAACATCAAAGTCAGAAAAACTCATATCAAAACTACAGTAAGACATTATCTGTTCCCAGTTAAAATGGCATTTATTTAAAAGGCTGGCAAGAACAAATGCTGGAGGATGTGGAGAAGCGGGAATCATTGCACACTGTTGGTGGGAATGTAAAGTAGTACAGCCACTTTGGAAAACAGTTCAGGGGTTCCTCAAAAAACTCAGAATAGAATTATCATATGATCCATCAGTCCAATGACTTGGGATATACTCAAAAGAAAGGAAATCAGTATATTAAAGAGATATGTGCACTCCCATGTTTACTGCAGCACTATTCACAATAGCCAGGATTTGGAAGCAACCTAAGTGTCCATCAACAGACAAATGGATAAAGAAAATGTGGTACATACACACAGTGGGGTATTATTTAGCTATGAAAAAGGATAAGAGCCTATCTTTTTCAACAACATGGATGTAACTGGAGGTCATTAAGTTAAGTAAAATAAGCCAGGTACAGAAAGACAAACCTCACACGTTCTCACTTGTTTGTGGGAGTCAAAAATTAAAACAACTGAATTTGTGGAGATAGAGAGTAAAAAGATGATGACCAGAGGCTTGGAAAGGGCAAGAGGATGGTGAATGAGCACAAAAATATAGTTATATAGAAGTAATAAGATGCAGTATTTGGTAGAACAGGGTGACTACAGTCAACAATTAGACATTTTGAAATGACTGGAAGAGTACAATTGGATTGGTTGTAACCCAAAGAAAGGATAAATGCTTGAGGTGATGAATAACCCATTTACCCCCAAGTGGTTATCACATATTGCATGTCTGTATCAAAATCTCATGTACTCCATAAACATCTACTATGTACCCACAGACATTATTTACGAAGTTCTGACAAAGAAAAAATAATTGTTATTTAGATATCTGCTAATCTACCCTAACAAAACAGATGAAGAATATACATCATGAAGAAAGGGTATGATGGTTAATTTTATATGTAAACCTGACTGGGACCAAATATTCACTTAAATATTATTCATGGGTGTTCTGGTGAAGGTGTTTCTGGATGAGATTAACATTTGAATCAGTAAACTGAATAAAGCAGATTTCCTGCCCCAATGTGAGTGGGCCTCATCCAATCTGTTGAAGTTCTGAATAGAACAGAAAGCTAAGACAGAATTTTTTCTGTCTTCAAGCCGGATTGTCTTTGAGCTAGGACAATGGTGGTTTTGTTTGTTTGTTTGTTTGTTTGGACTGGAACTTACACCATCAGCTCTCCTGGGTCTGAATTTCTCAGCCTACAAAGTCACATGGTCTAATTCTGTATACTAAATTTCTTTACCATCATCTCTATCCTCCACCCCCTCCACACACCCTATTGATCTGTTTCTCTGGAGAACTCTGAATAATACTGAGGATGTGAGGGGCATGCAGAATGAGCTCGCATTGTGAAAATACTATCAGATAAACTGGAGAGACTAAAGTCAGATGAAAATGGGTCCAACAGAGGCAGGAAGTCTTTATTTGGATTTTGACAGAAAAACAGAAAATTCATGGAAAGAGAGAGAAGAAGGGTGATCTACGTGGGAAAATAGTTCACTCAAAATGTCGTGTGCATTTGGAATGCCAGCCATTTTTTCCAAAGGAAAATCAATTCTGTGTGGCACTACAAAAGAAACAGGGTAATGGAGGAAGACTATGACTGGACAAGTGCAGGAAGAACTAAAGAATCGACCTGATATGAAAGTGCAAATTGTGCACTGACTTGACGCTGAGGCTCACTCAGACAACGCGATAGACAGAGTAAGGGGATCCTGGCCCTGTGCTCCAGGACTGCATCGTCTAAGCAGCCGTAACTGCCTAGCAGGCTTCCAGGTGATAAAAACAGGTTTCATAAAATATGTTCTTGCTCAATAAATATACAAGCCAAACATCGTATTTTCAACATACAAAACAAATATTTAGGCCAAAAAATGCATATCAAAAATTACTATGCACCAAGTACTTCAGTTGTAGACAGAAGGTCAAGTGAGGTGAATGAGTGAGTCTGGGAGCAAGCTGTGATGGAGCAAGGTAGACATGCGAGAGCCTCATCCTGTGAGTAAATGTGCTTGATGCCTCGACTTATTTTGAACCCAAATGAACAGGCCGCAGGCTACATAGCACAGTTGGCTTACTCTAACATTTTAGGTTTTTAAAATTATTAGCAGCCTAAGCTATGGCTCAAGGGCCACAGAGCACTGCTTAACACTAAGTTCAAGGTTAATGTTAGTTGCCTCATGAAAGAACACAGAAATGGGTTACAGGGCTCCAAATTGGGCTGAAAAGAACCTTCTGACTTTCTAAGGTGATACCTGTGTTTTCAGGCTTTGGGGAAGAATGCTTTGATTTGAAGATGAAGATTAAAATCTCTATGATACCATTCTCTTTGGTTTTCTTGTGTGTTCCATAGCCATGGCTTTCACTGAAATCCCATTTTCTATTAGAATCTACTGGCATTTCTTCCCTGCCGATGGCTGGGTACTACTACCAAAAAAATATTTGTCTTTATACACACATGAGCATATGTAAATCCCCTCCAAAGTGTTGTCTGATTACTCATTTCAGTTTTTAATTGAAGTAACTGTCCACTTGTACTATGGATATCTTTATAAAAAAACATGTAAATGTATTTTGTTTTGGCAGGGTTTTTAAAGTGCATTTTCTTTAGTTATTCATACTGGGTGAAATGTAGCCACATTAATCATCGTTTTAATTTTCTGTGTGTGATTACCCGCCATGAACATTGATGCTAGCACATTTCTTTTTAGCTACTTTTTTCAGGATTAGAGGGATATTGCTCCAACTTCAGAACTGATGATTTCCTACAAGATTCTAATATATCTTATACCATATTTGCAAGATAAAAGCTATGCTCATAGTTTAAAATCACTCAAATGACATGTGTAAAGAGAAATGCTTCACTGATTTTCCAAATCATTTTCCTGTACAGTTGAACTATTTCTTAAAACCTTAGCTGTTTTTTATATCACTATTACAGTAACTATCAAGGATTTAAAATACCAGTCATACTCAATATTAGCAAAGGCATTCTTAGGCACCACTGCTAGAAATATAAACTAGTGTACTTTTGTCTACAGGGCAGTTAAGAGTTAATAAGCGATATGTACGATAAACCTTAAAGATGAGAAAAACCTTGAACCTGGAAATTTCACTTATGAGAATTCATCTTGGTTATGATACTCATCTTAATATAACTATCGACTAAGTTGTTAGTTGCAAAAAAGCTTTAGAATAATATGATTACTAATAATAGGAGACTAAAATAAATTATGGCATATCCACGTAATGGAATTCTATGCAGCCATTTAAAAGGGTGGCTAGGTATGGACTCAGTGACTTAAAAAGGTGATCCCGATACAATCTTATCTCTATAATAGCAATTGTTTTAATGTTACATACATATGTCTGTGTGTACATACACATAAAAAAACTTACAAAAATGGATCTTAACATGATTTCTGTTAAAGAGTTTTCCTTTTTTTCTTTAAATCTTCTAATTTTTATATAATACATTTTTATAGTTATAACATATATATATATTATATACACATACATACATATATATGCACCACGGAAGCTTCTTTTCCAGCTGTCCTGCCTCTAGGCATATGGACTTTGAAGCAACCTAGCAGGAAGGGCCCATGCTGGGGGTGGGGGTGGAGGTGGGAGCGGGGAATCTGAAGGCCCCATCTCTCCCAAACCTGATCGGCCTAGCTCAGCTGTCCCATAAGACAGGAGCAATGATCCTGCTCACCAGACTGTCCTGGATGCAGGGAGTCTCCACTAGCCTCCGGACTCCGTTCTCCACAGTGACTCCCAGCCAGTTGAGCGCTGCCCAGCACCAGAGGTAGTCGTAGCCGCCATGCCAGTAGCTCACAAATGCAAATGTCATTGCCGTGGAAAACAGCGTCCCCAGCAGGCCATGCTGGGATCCACCTACTGGAATGTACACATACCTAGAGAAAGAAGAGGCTGTTAGGAGCCATGAATAGGGCTGCCCTGCAACTCTGCCTGCTCCCTGGATTTACTCCCCTGTTGAACGCCACTGTTCACATATGCATATCCTCCCTCACTTCCAGGAGGCCAGATTCCTTGGATTCTCCATCCCTCAAGGAGTTGGCAAAAACCCAAGCCTCACCTCTGCAAGGCTTTAGGTTAAATGAACACAAAGGCTCAAGGCTTCTCATTACTAGAACAAAATAGCACTTGCAAAAGGCAGGGCCAGAAGTCATGAATTTAGAGTTTCTGAAAGGGATGTGCCCAACCCTGGAAACCCAAACACAGAATGGCAGTTAAGTTTCTGACCACATGGGGCCAGCAACCTTCAAGGCAGGTGATACGGTTTGGTTGTGTCCCCATCCAAATCTCATCTTGAATTGTAGCTCCCATAATCCCCACATGTCAAGGGAGGGACCCAGTGGGAGGTAACTGAGTCATGGGAGCAGGTTTTTCCTATGCTGTTCTCATGATACTGGGTAAGTCTCACGAGATCTGATGGTTGTCTAACAGGCAGTTCCCCTGCACAAGCTCTCTTGCCTGCCACCATGTAAGACATGCCTTTGCTCTTCCTTTGCCTTCTGCCGTGATTGTGAGGCTTCCCTAGCCATGCAGAACTGTGAGTCCATTAAACTGTTTTTTCTTCATAAATTACCCAGTCTTGGGTATTTCTTCATAATGGTATGAAATGGAGTAATACAGCAGGGGTGGATTTGACAGATCAGATTACTAAATTTATGGTAAACCCATTTTTAAACACAATTGCTAAGACCATGTTCCTAAACAGGCAGGAGCTGGGTGCTGCAGATGGATGCCAGAGCCGGTTCCCAACTTTCTAGGCAGGGTGCCCAGAAGTAGTCGTGAATCCACAGTAAAGAAAAGGGCTCTATGCTCACAGGGCAGCCAAACTACCAGACAAAATGCATAGCTGCCCCCTGGGTATGTTCTCCATTGCTGAGACAGCTGCCTGAGTCCACAGAGACAGGACTATGTTCTTCAATCAGTATTTTCCTGCTTCAGTTGGACAAAACTCACACCTTGAGCTGTTAGGACCTGGAGAGCTAGGAGCACACCCTTTTTGCAACAGCCTTTTTAAAAAGCCCACAGGCCTTTGTTTATTGCTGGTTGGTGCTTCTTTGTCCAACTTTCCTCCAGGAGGGAAAAGTAAAATATCCTTTTTTGAATACACAATATGTTCCAGGTACAACATGACACTTTATGTGTACCACTCTGATCCTTTTAAGCACCATACATATGGTTTATATCCACTGCCCCCAGCATCTTAAACAATTTAGCATCTGCTAATATATTATTTTAACTTGGGGGAGGAGATCAAACCTATTTTTGAGGAGGAAATAAAATTGTTTTTTGAGAAGAAATTGTTCTAGTCAAAATGTTTTTCAATAGAACTATTTTACTTTTAAAGACAGCATCTCCAAATGTTCCCAAGGCAGGAGTGCAGTAGTGCAATGATAGCTTACCACAACCTCAAACTCCTAAACTCAGACAATCCTCCCACTTCAGCCTCCCAGGTAGCTGGGACTACAGGAATGCACAATGACACCTAGCTAATTTAAAACCTTTTTTTGTAGCGATGAAAAAAGTTGCCCAGGCTGGTTTTGAACTCCTAGTCTCAGTGATCCTCCTGCCTCAGCCTCCCAGAACGTCAAGATTACAGTCATGAGTCACCATACCTGGCTTAATAGAAGAATTTTATAGGTAGGCAAGGTAAAAATGAAAACAACTTATCAGGCAATAAAGAAATCTTTTGAAAGACTATATGATTGTAAATTATTTAAAAATGTGCCACTTGACAGACTCTCTCCTTGACTAAACTTTAGCCAAGCTCCTCTGAGCATTCTAGGCCTCAATCTTGGTGTCCATCTTTATCGTAGCAAGAATCATGCTAAGTCAGTTTAGAATGAACCCCTCATTTGCAATATCTGATCATGCTCCATTATCTGGTCAAATTCTTCAGCACCTACTCTTGGTGTCTGATCGCCCTGGCTGCCTTCAGGAGGAATCCTGTTAGGTCTGTTTAGCCAGAATCCCCCTATTTTCCAATGTTTCCTCTAAATAATATTCCACTCAATGACCCCCACCTTGCTCCTTGGCTATATTCCCCTTGTCCATGCTGTATTCAGAATTAAGCCCAGTTCTGGTTGGGTGTGGTGGCTCATGCTTGTAATCCCAGCACTTTGAGAGGCTGAGACACAGGTGGATCATCTGAGATCAGGAGTTCAAGACCAGCCTGGCTAACAGTGAAACCCTGTCTCAACCAAAAATACAAAAATCAGCTGGGCATGGTGGTGCATGCCTGTAGTCCCAGCTACTCTGGAGGCTGAGGCAGAAGAATCGCTTGAACCCGGGAGGAGGAGTTGGAGGTTGCAGTGAGCTAAGAACACGCTACTGCACTCCAGCCTGGGCTACAGAGCAAGATCCCCTCTCAAAAAAACAAAAAAGAATTGAGTACAGTTCTATACTGAGGTCTCTTTTCCCCTATTACAATAGTTCCTGAATAAAATTTTTACTGCTTCAACTACTACCTAGGTCTGGTTTTCCTTTAACATCCTCCACTCTCAAATATGTTCCAGTTTCTAGTTTAGATAATAAATTATGTGATCACCTTAGATAATCCCATTTTATGGGTAAGGAAACCAAGGTTGAGAAGTTTATTTGCCCAAGGTACACAGCTAGGAAGGAGAAGGACCAGGATCCAAATATGCATCTGTACCTCCAACTTACTGCTTCCATTACATCCCTGGGCTAATTTTTAAAGTCCTCTATATTTCACCCCAATCAGGAATAATTAAACTGGAAGGCATGTGAGAATGCAGCAGTTTGAGAAATAGGTAAAGCAAAGCCAGTACTTTCATTTGTGCCAAAACAGGACCATCTTCACAATCATATCAGCAAATAGGCATCAAGCCCTTATGCAGATTAAGGGATCTGCCTGTTGAGCATGTCTTTAAAACTTCAGAGAATTCCTGGCATTATGAGAAACAGACATGACTTTGTTCCTGCTACAAGGATGGGCATACCTGCTTGTGAAACAACAGCAAACAAGTCCCACCATTAAGCTATGTGCCGTGGTACAAAGTACACCAGAAAGGTTTGAGAGTGCAGGGGAGAAGGGTGTGGGGTAAAAGAGGCTTAAGGGCGAAACTTCAGCAAGGCCGAGAGGGTGAGTTCTGCTAGGTAAAGAGAAGGTTGGGCACTGCAGCAAGTGCAGCAAGGACACAAACGAGGGGCTGGATGACAAGTTAGAAAAGCCGGACAGCCCAGGGCATAGTGGTCTTATCCAGTGTTCTGCTGCCCCCCAGAGGCTTCTTGGTCATTGGTGTAGAATACTCAGCAGAGGCAAAAAAAAAAAAAAAAAAAAAAAAAAAAAAAAAAAGCCACCATTCGCTGTCTCCTACCTATGTGGAGGTAACCGCTGGCTTATCATGAGGCGCCCTTAACTTTACATCATCAGCACTGTATGTAAAAATAATAGGGTGATCAGACCTATTGCAAAAGGACAAAGAACAACTTCTCTTTAAGGAAACTGGGCAGATGGCTGTTTTACAAAACAGATTATCAAATGCTGTCTTCATCCAACCTGCTTCATGTTCAGTTTTTATTTGTTTGTTTAATCGTATCTCACTATATAAAAGTGAGCTGCAACTGGGGATGGTGGCTCACGCCTGTAATCCAACACTTTGGGAGGCCAAGGCTGGGGCGGGGCGGGGGGGGGTCACTTGAGATGAGGAGTTCAAGACCAGCCTGGCCAACATGGTGAAACCCTGTCTCTATTAAAAATACATAAATTAGCTAGGCATGGTGGTGCACACCGACAGGCCCAGCTACTTGGGAGGCTGAGCCAGGAGAATTGCTTGAACCTGGGAGGCGGAGGTTGCAGAAAGCCTAGATTGCACCATGGCCCTCCAGCCTGGGTGACAGAGCAAGACTGTCTCAACAAAATGAGCTGCACCGTATATGTCAGAAAGCCACAGTATAAAAACCTCTCTTTTTCCACACCAGTGGTACTTGATCTTGAATTTAACTCCAAGAAGGACATGTTTTCAAGCTTGTGATGAGGAAGCATCTAGCCCCAAAATTACATGCCCAGCTATTTTGGGCATCTCCTGGAACCATGGCTCTGTTACTTTGCCTTCAAAATGACAGCCAACAAAAATATCTGAAAATTCCTTCAATTCTAGAAATTCATATATGGCAGGTGTCCAAGGACATGAGGCTGCTTGTTTCAAGCCAGAGAAGGTAGAGCTTCCAGACTGGAAGATAAAAATCCCTTCTTTATTCTTCGTTTCTAGAAGGCAGTACGTGTGGTGAAAAGGAGAGGAAACAGGTTATTTTCTTTTACAAATTCTACCGTCTTCTGTCAGTTCCACAATTAATAAAAACAGAAACATGTCTTTTTTTAGAAAAGCAATAGTATGAAACCGCTTCCTAAGACTCGCTGCACAGTAAATTGATTTCCCAATGGAAGAAAGCAATCAACACCACCTTCTCAGAAAGCAAAACTAAGAAGATTGCCTCTCGTCAGTGACTATGTCAGGTTCAGCCTTCAAGAAGCCTGCCTCTGTCTGGCCGGCTTCGTGTGGTCACTGCTTATGGAAAATGCTGCACTCACCTTCTTAATTTAAAAGCATCTCACCAAATCAATGCACTGTAGCAAACCCCCAACTCAGGAGGAAGAATCTATATAAAATGCAGACGGTATTGATGACATCTACCCTTTACTGAGTGCCCATGCGCGAAGTGCTTTATGCATACTACTTCTAATCATTAAAACAACCCTGCAAGGAAATAGCCATTAGGCCTATTTTACACAGGAGAGATGAAATCTGCACCTAGAATGTTGTGTTTCCAACACCGTCAGGTCTAGGTGCTTTTGGTGACGTTTCTCATTTAACCAAATCTTCAAAACAGTCTCCACAGAAATATCCACTGGTGTTTT